TAATTTATGTATATAGATAGCATCTCAAATTACTGGGGCAAAGACAAACTTTTTAAATCAATGGTGTTGGGACAATTGATTTCCCATTTAGAAAAAGATATAACTTGAATCCATACTTCATACCATATACCAAAATAAACTCTAAATGGATCAGAGAACTAAATGTAAAAATAAAACCACACAAATATTAGAAGAAAACATAAGTGAATTCCTCTAAAACTGGTTTTAGGAAAGAATTTCAGAGTATGATTCCAGATTCACATAAAAATAAATAAATTATATATATCTTGGTAAAAATAAAAGTGCCAGAGCAAATTCAAAAGACAAATAAACTGGGAGAAAATATAATATATTATATTGGTAAAATAACACATCTGCAATACGTAAAAAAAAAAAAAAAAAAAAAATGCTGACAAATTAAGGAAAAAAGGACCGCCCGACTGGTGTGGCTCAGTATATTGAGCATAGTCCCATGGAGTGAGAAGTCCCTTTTGGATTCCCAGTGTGGGCACACGCCCGGGTTGTGGGCTCGATCCCCAGTAGAGGGCGTGCAGGAGGCAGCCAATTGATATTTCTCTCTCCCGTTGATGTTTCTATCTCTCTTTCCCCTCCTCTCTAAAAAAGAGTCAATAAAAACATATATTTTTAAAAAGAACAATATCCTATAAGAAAAATGGGCAAAAACATTAACAGACAACTCACTGTAATGTCCTTTATATATTAAAAAAAAATTCTCTTTCACTCAGAGGAGAAAGTCAAACTATATTATGATCCCATTTCTAACCTACGAAATCAGGAAATAACAAAGTCTGACAACACACTCTGGTGCAGGCACTCTTCTACATTGCCACTGGAAATACAAAATACTACAACCCTCATAAAGAAACAGAATTCAGCAATTTTTAACAAAATTACATAGCATTTACCTTTAACCCCAAAATCCCACTTCTAGAAATTCACTCTAAAAACAGGCCTCCAATAATACAAAAATGCATATTTACAATTTATTTTTGTAATTGAAAAGAATCGTAAACAACCTAAATGTGTGTGTGTGTGTGTGTGTGTGTGTGTGTGTGTGTATGGTCAAATAAACCATGGTACAGTCACACAATTTAGTAATATGTAGCTGTAAAAACAAAAAGAAGGAGGGAGGAGGAGAACAGAAGGTAAAAGAAGAGATCTCTCTTAACTTATAAACTGCTAAAGGGTGATTTCTAGGATATATTTTTTTAAGTTATAAAAGTAAATATGGCCCTGGCCAGTTTGGCTCAGCGGCTGAGCGTCAACCTGCGGACCAGAGAGTCCCAGGTTCAGTTCCTACTAGGGGCACGTACCACAAAAAAAAATTTAAAAAAATAAAAGTGAATATGGTACAATATCTCTTTTATAAGAAAGAAATAGGAAATAATAGAATATATATCACTTTACATTTTCAAAATGAAAAGGAAGAATAAGCTAATAAAACTGATTAGCTACAAGGTAAGGGTAAATGAGAACCGATTAGAAGGGACAGGGAATGGGTAACACTAATCTGAAAATAGCTTTTTGTTGAAAATATCCATTTTTCAAAAGGATAGAGGAGAAAAAAAAAATTAAGTACAATGAATACAAATAAACCTAATTTATTCCAAATAAATAGAATAAACTCTAAAGTACATGCAAACAATCCTGCACTCTACTTCGTAGGTTTACATCTGTGGTGGTGTGAAAGCAGCAATTCCAAAACTACTTTCTATGTACTGCAGGATTGCATATGATCAAATATATTGTGTAATGTTTCAAGACATGTTTTTCAGTGTTAAAGAACAGAACTACAAATATGATATGGGCAAAGGCTAAGAAAAATCCAATAATGTTAAGTTAAACTTAGAGATATCAGTGTAAAGTCATGATTTACAGTTAAATAGACAAATAGATATTAATATGGATATGCATATAACTGTGTGTGTGCGCGCACGCGCTCTGAAAGGATTTAAAAACAATGACATTTCAAGGGGATTAAGCACACTAATAACTAGATCTTAGTTTCTAAATACTCTTCTTCAACAAAAAAGCAAGGGCTTCTTGAATAAATGGCTGATTCCAGGGCAAGGGCAGAAAAACAATTATTAGTCTAGAACATTATGCTGTGCCATAAATTAAGTGCTTAAAAAAAGTGATGAGGATAAGTCAAAAGGTCATGGGAATGACTTAAATGGCCAAGTCTGTGACAAATGAATATCAAAATAAATAACAGAAGAAATAAATAATAATCTATTGTAGATATCTGGCAGGCATCACTTTAACAGTGATCAAAGTTAATAGTACCAATAATGGGATCAAAGATATTATTGCCTCCTGATGTAATGCACTGAGGGCTTAGTATCACTTCAGAGGTACTCCTGTCCAACATGTATAACCTGAGTCCAATCAGACAAAGTCAAGTTAGAGGACATTCTCTAAAATAGTTGGCCTGTATGTCTTCAAAATGTAAATGTTATGAAAGACAAGGAAACACCAAAATTAAATTAAAGAAGTTTCCGGATTAAAGAAGATGAAAGAGACATGTAGACTAAATGTAATAAGTGATCGTGATTGGTTCATAAAACACTAAAAAAGAGTGACCATTGCAATCACTGTACTGTTGTACTGTGATTGTGTAAATGAATGATCTTGTTCTCAGGAAATAACCACTCACATATTAAGGGGTAGAAGAACATGAAGTATGCAGCTCATTTCCAAATATGTGTGTGTGCACTGTATGTATAAATACAGAGAGAAAAGTGATATAGCAAATACAGACAAATTTAACAACTAGTTCTAGGTGAAAAGTATACAGGAATTTTTATACTATTCTTCCAATGTTTTTCCAAGTCATATTGAAATAAAAACTTTCTTAAATTAAGAATATACTTTCAACTAATAAAAAAAGATGACATAAAACATAGTAAATGGCCTTGAATTTCTCAACAGAGGCCATGCGGGCCAGAGGAGAATGGAATGATATATTCAAAGTGCTAAAAGAAAGAAACTTCTTTTCCCAGCACAGCTGTCCAGAAATGAAGACAAGGCTTTCCCTGATAAACAAAAGCTGAGGGAATTCATCATCACTAAACCTGCCTGACAAAACAAATGCTGCTAGGATTTTTAAGCTGAAATGAAAGGACACTAATTAGTAACATGAAAACATTTAAAAATATATAACCCACTGGTAAATGTAAGAATATAGTCAGACTCAGATCACCCTAATACTCTAATACAGTGATATGTAAATCATATATCTGATAAGGGGTTAATATCCAAAATATATAAAGAACTTATACAACAATAGCCAAAAAATCCAATTTAAAAAAATGGGCAGAGGCACCCATTATTTATCAAGCATAATATTACACATTAAAGAACAGCAAATAAGAACTCTGTAGAATCCCAAAGGACTTTGCTACAAGGATCTTTGAAAACAAAAAAGAAATGCTCTGAAAAAGATCAACACCAAAATTGTGCTGTTGGCACTGTGTCCACCAGCATGGTCCCCACACACCTGGGTTGGGTTTTTGTTTTTTGTTTTTGCTTTTGGGTTTTTTGTTTTTGTTGTTATTAATGTGCTGGGATTTACTAAAAAACAAATAAATGCTTTTGAGTTTGCCCTATAATACATGAAATTTAATTCAGTTTCCTGCAAAAAAAAAAAAAAAAGGCAGAAAACCTAAACAGACATTTTCCCAAAGATGTACAAATAGCCAACAGGTACATAAATAGGTACCCAACATCACTAATCATCAGGGAAATACTGATCAAAACCACAATGAGATATCACTTCATACCTGTTATAATGGCTACCATCAAAAAGTCAAAAGATAACAAGTGTTGGTGAGGATGTGGAGAAAAGGGAACGCTTGTGCACTGCTGATGGGAATATAAATTGGTATAGACACTATGAAACACAGTACAGCAAGTCCTCAAAAAATTAAAAATAGAACTACCATATGATCCAGCAATCCCACTTCTGGGTATATAGCCAAAGAAAATGAAAATAGGACCCCAAAGAGATATCTGCAGTCCCATATTGATTGCAGCATTATTCACAATTGCCAAAGTATGGAAACAACCTAAGTGTCTGTCAAAGGATGAATAAAGATGTGAGATAGATATAGATAGATGATAGATAGATCGATAGATCGATAGACAGACATATACAATGATATATTATCCAGCCATGAGAAAAAAGGCAATCCTGCCATTTGTGACAATGTGGATGAAACTGAGGGTATTCATGTTAAGTGAGATTAAGTGAGACAGAGAAAGACAAAAATGTATCACTTATATGTGGAATCTAAAAAAGCCTAACTCACAGAAACAAAGTAGAATGGTGGTTAACAGGGGCTGGGAGTAAGAGAAATGGAAGATGGTAAAAGGGTAAAGTCATCTAGAAATAAGATGAATAATTTCTAAAGATCTAATGCACAGCATGGTGATTATAGCTAATAATATTGTATTATATATTCCAAAGTTGCTAAGTGAATAGATCTTAAATGTTCTCACTACAGAAAAGAAATGGCAATTATGTGATGTGATGGAGGTATTAGATAATGCTATGGTGATCATTTGCACATATAAATGTATCAAATCAACAAGCTGTGCACCTTAAACTTACACAATATCACATGTCAACGATATCTCAATAAAGCTAGAAAAAAATGACCCTGGAGCCCTGGCCAGTTTGGCTCAGCGGTTAGAGCGTCGGCCTGCGGTCCGGAGAGACCCGGGTTCGGTTCCCGCTAAGGGCACGTACTTCGGTTGCAGTTTGTCCCCGGCCCTGGCTGGTCGCGCGGGTGGCAGCCACTCGATGTGTCCCTTCACGTCGATGTTTCTCTCTCTCTCTCCCTTCCTCTCTCTCCCTCCCACTCTATCTGTACAAAAAAAAAAATGGAAAAATATCCTCGGGTGAGGATAAAAAAAAAAAAAAAAAAAATGACCCTGGAAAAAAGAAATGTGTAGATATTTATGCCATGTATACATACCTGTCTGCACTCACATTAGACTGGGATTTTAGAGAATTATCCAATTCATTCTCACTTTCTTCGGACTGGCTGTTAATAGTTTCTTCTTCATCATCATCTACTTCATTAAGAGCCTTTCTCAACACAAAAATAAGAATAACAACACAAGTTGGTTATACATACACTCATCCTTCCTTCCTTTTTGTCATAACTGAAGAGGAGTCCCTTTTTCTAAGGTCTCTCCACGTTTTACAACTCAAACCCTCTCACCTCCTCTACTCTATCAATTGCCCCTTCTCTCTCCTGCATCTTCACTCCCTCTCTGTACTGACTTCAGCTCATCCACATTTACATGTGAGTCTCTCCCATCTTGTCCTCGCCCCATACCTTCTCCTCATGCTACTACCCATCTTCTCTCTTTCTCTACCAAAATTCTAGAAAGTTGTCCCCCACTTCTCATTCATGCCCTGCCACTTTGCTTCCGTTGTACCACTCGACTCAGAATGCTCTCCGCAGGGTCCGCATCAGCATACTGGTTCCTAAATCCAATAGGTATTTTTCAGTCTTGACTTTCCCTGATTTCTCTGACACATTAGACATTAATGACCACTCATTTCTCCCCTTCAAAATCTTCTTGATATCATCTTCCTTCTGGGTTTTTCTTCTATTGTTCTAGCTGTTCCTTTCCAATCTCCTTTATTGGTTCTTCTTTTTCTATCCCTCTTATATATGACTCAAGATCCTTCTTTTGGACCTTTATTCTCCTTTTATCGGACTCATTTTCTGAATGATTGTATTTAATTTCAAAGCTGCAATTATAAGTCAAATGCTATTAATTTCCAAATCTCTATTTTCACCCAGATTTCTTGAGCCCTAGACATTTATATACAACTGCCTAAATGCCTAAAAGATAGCCCTGGTAAAACATCCTACATACACATACTCAACGTGTCTAAAACTGATCACCCACCTAAGCCTCTCCTATCATTCCTACTATATTACCTAAGGCCACAAACAGCATCATCATCTACTCAGATGCTCAAGCCAGCATCTGGGAATTATTTTTCTTTCTCATCTGTCACATCCAATCAACCACCCAATCCTGTCAGTTCTACCCCTTTTTACTCTCTCAATCTACCCTGCCACTACCCCTCTTCCCCTCTATCTTCCCTACTGCCACTGCTTTGGGTCAGGTCCTCACCACTTCTCACTAAGATCCCAGTGTAGGTTTCTTTTTTTTCTTTCCTCACCCGAGGATATTTTGCCATTTTTTTGTACAGATAGAGTGGGAGGGAGAGAGAGGAAGGGGGAGAGAGAGAGAAACATCGACGTGAAGGGACACATCGAGTGGCTGCCACCCGCACGACCAACCAGGGCCGGGGACAAACTGCAACCGAAGTACGTGCCCTTAGCGGGAATCGAACCTGGGTCTCTCTGGACCACAGGCCGACGCTCTAACCGCTGAGCCAAACTGGCCAGGGCCCAGTCTAGGTTTCTAACCAGATCCTCTTGCCAGTCTTGTCCCTCTCAATCCATCTTCCGCACTACAGTCAATTTCATGACTCCATTCTCATGTTCCTTAGCCTTTCATAACCTAGCTTCTCCCTGTCTTTCTAACCTCAGCTCTTGCCACTTCCCCACCACCATGAGGGAGACCACTATTACCTGAAAGCCAATATTTTAATAAGTGCCAAAATAGAAGTGGTTTTTACCTAGGGATATAACTAATGGGTTTTGGCTATTTAAAACATATGTAACATTTATTTAATTGCCTTTGTAATAAACAGTATACTTAACAAGTTTTTAATTATCTTGGACCTTGCAATTCCTCTAATTGATGATTCTCCTTTTTTCATAGAAGAGTGAACACATAACTAGGAAATTGCATTAAACAGATACTGAGTCCTAATCATTCATAAGAAGTTTTATTTTAGTGTTAAGTTCTTCATGGGCTTTTAAACAATGTTTACTATCTCAAAATTCTAAACACTTAATTAATTAAGAGTTCTAATTAGGTTAGGATACAGCTAGTTATTGTTTTACTGCTATATCATAGTTTTCCCATGTAACTAGTCAATAAACGCCAGTTTCCTGAGTAGCTACTTTTTAAACATACTAATACAACTGAAGAAATTAACATTTAATGAAGAACTACTACTTAGTGTTATGCTAGGAACTTTACAAACATCTCAGCAGATCCTCATAACAACCATAGCAGGTATATTCTATTTCCATTTAACAAAAGACACTCTTAGCCAACTCAGACACCTTAAGAAATCAACTCAAGATCAAACACCTAGTAGGTAGCAGAATATGAACCCAGATCCATCCGACTCCAGAGTGGAAGTGGAAAGCCTCCTTGCTGTTTCCATACTGGCAGATGGTGGCCGCAGTCTTATGGAGCCAGGTAGCCTAGATTTGAATGTCATCTCTGACACTAACTAACTATGTGGTCTTGGACAAATCACTTAAGTTTTCTGAATCTCAGGTTTTTTTTGTCTACTAAATGAGGGTAATAGTGCCTACCTCGTAGGTAAGTACTCAATGTGTTAGCTATCCAGTCCTATCTTGTTTAGTACAAACACTACTCACAGAAAGTGCAATATGATTAAGAACAATTCTAGCAACCAAAACTTGGTATCTGTTGATATCTAAGCTTTTGAAATGTTTACCGCAATGCCTACATCAACTTAAATTTAATTTCAGCATGAGCATTTGAGCTGTAAGCAGAGCACACTACCTGAGGCTCCACAACAGATCCACCAAGGATGGCCTGGGTGACGGGGTCTTGATTTACTACAATGGGACCTTGACAGGAATCTGGAGCCACTGTTACATTCGGAAAACCTGCAGAAAGAAAACGCCGTGATGGTTTTGTTTCATTTAATTAAAGTGATTTCACAAGCACTATACACTGCCATAGGTTCGTAGCATATGAAAAACTTTAATAGTAGCAGCTCACCCCTATACAGTACTTACCACATGCCGGGCACAGTTCTAAATGCTTTTAAATATATTAAATCATTTTACCCTCACAAAATCTTATGAGGTTGTTACTATTATTATTTTACAGATCAGTAAACTGAAACTCAGAGACCTGAAGCAGCTGGCCCAGAGTCACACCTACAAGTGGCTGAGCCAGGACTCAAACCTTAAAATAAAAACTAAAACTAATTATCTCTTTTTAGGGATCAAAATTAAAAATGGGTTATATATACATTATGAACAATACTGTGTATCTGAAAAGGAGGGAAGTTTCTTTCAGAGAGAGACTTAAGTTGCTTTGGATTTCAAATTAAGTTTTACAAATTTACATATAAATAGATACTTCATTTATATGGTAATTTAATAATAATAAACTAAAAATCAAGTCATATTTTAAATCATAAAATCTTGTACATTGCACCATAAAATATTTTAGTAAATAATAATACTTTACTTTCCTTAGCTGAGTAATTTGTAATAGTTAAGATTCTCGGGGCCTCGGACAGTTTTGCTCAGCGGTTAGAGCATCGGCCTGAGGTCCAGAGAGACCAGGGTTCGGTTCCCACTAAGGGCACGTACCTCGGTTGCAGTTTGTCCCCGGCCCTGGTTGGGTCATGTGGGTAGCAACCATTCGATGTGTCTCTTTCACATCGATGTTTCTCTCTCTCTCTCTCTACCACTCTCTCCCTCCCTATCTATCTGAAAAAATGGAAAAATGTCCTCGGATAGGTGAGGATAAAAAAAAAAAAAGATTCTCGGTGACAAGCAAACAAGTTATAATGAATGTATGCCTAATAACTCCACCACTCTAGAATATTTATAATACAAATAATGCCTGAAAAAAATATTTTAAATTCAATATTTTAAATTCTTCCAAATAACTATTTGTGGCCATGGTTAATGAGAAAAAGAAGTTTTGTTTGAATTGAATACTTTACCTGTGCGCCTACGAGGAAAATCAACAAACAGATCTTTGGCTGCAGCCATCAAATGATCAGATTTTTCCAATGCATCCTGCATCTGGTATTGATCAGAAAGAATCTATACACGTATTAATGATAAATATCATTATTGAGAAAAAATATATATAGCTACCAAATCACAAAGGAAAAGTCCATATAAAGGCATGAAGCATAAAAATAACCATAGGTCACTACCTTACTAAAATTCTTCAGTGGTGATATCCTCTAGTACCAGTAGATGGGGCTATTACAATTATTAGTGGATTTCAAATGCTTGGTGTAATCCTGAGAAATAGACTATTAAATTGTGATCCAATACACGCACATAAATGTACATATGTAACAAAACAAAAGTTTTATTTAACCTTAGTCTTTGAAACCAATTTGATATTTTCTTTTTAGTTTCTGTTCTACTTTTTAGAATGAGGGTTGTAATCCACTAATTTGATTTCACAGTCCATTAAAAAGTTGTGACCCACAGTTTGAAAAACATTAATTAAAGATAAAATCTTTGCCCTGGCCAGTTTCCTCAGTGGTTAGCATGTCAGCCTGTGGACAGAAGATTTGTGGATTCGATTCCCCATCAAGGGCAGGTTCAATCCCCAGCCCCAGTCGGGGTCATGTGGGAGGCAGCCAATTGAGAAGTTTCTCTCACACTGATGTTTCTCTCTCTCTCCCTCCCTCCCTTCTGCTCCATGTAAAAATTAATGGAAAAATATCATCAGGTGAGGATAAACAAACAAAAAAGATAAGAATCTTTGAGCCATAAACTCAAAAGTGTAAATCTCTGAGCCATAAACTCAGGTTTCAACCAATAAAGTGATTTCATAACCCACAACTTAAAAATTATGATGTGAAATATAAGTGTCAGAGCATTAAACAAACATGTACTTGTTCTTTCTGTACTTATAAACAATTCAGGTTTTCATCCTGGAGAAATGAGAACTTTAAAAATACCATGACAGCCCTGGCCAGTTTGGCTAAGCGGTTAGAGCATCGGCCTGTGGTCCAGAGAGACCCGGGTTCAGTTCCCACTAAGGACACATACCTCAGTTGCAGTTTGTCCCCGGCCCTGGTTGGGTCATGTGGGTGGCAACCACTCGATGTGTCCCTTTCACATAGATGTTTCTCTCTCTCTCTCTCTCTCCCTCCCACTCTATCTGAACAAAAAATGGAAAAAAAAATATCCTCAGGTGAGGATAAAAAAATAAATAAATAAATAAAAATAAAAATACCATTACAGTAGTGCCACATAATTGCAAGCAAGGATGCAGGCTTGTTAAGTAAAAGCAAGTCAACTCTACCCATTACCATCAGAGGCCATTCTTAAGTTAAAAGGAATCTCAAAATTGGAAATTATTCAGTTTCCACCACTGGCTCAAATCAATAGAACATCTAGTAACAAATGCTCTTATCAGACTGTCTCTAGACCATGAACACAAGTACATAATATGACCTCGGTTACTGTTTTAGGACACAGAAAAAAATACCATGAGTCACATTCTTTCTTTTTTCCCTTCTTCCCCTGCTATGGCCAAGAAGGTTGACTGGCTCAGCTGGTACAAATAAAGTCCTGAATTTGTTCTTTCCACACAGAGTAAACTTAGGAGTGGTATAAGACAAACAACACATTTTGAGCCAAAACATTGAGACCTTAGGCCAAGTCAAAAGATACTAAGCAAAATCTGACCGGTTTAACCTTAGTTTCTTGATGTGTCAAGGAAGATATTGAGGCAGGATAGTAAGAAGCTGAGAAAATTTCCAGGCAACTGAAATGGGGAAACTGAGACAAGATAATTAAACAAGGCCAAACAATTTGAACAATTTATAGCCAGCTAGTGAATCGCAAGACCTTATCTTCTCTAACCAAGGACATTTGAAAACAAATGGTTTCTACTGCTCCTCCCTGACCAGAGAATAAATAGCTTAAATCACCCTGGTTGGGGTGAGAGGACAGAGACCCAATTAATGCCATTTGTGCCAGCCAAACCCAAGGACGGATGAAGTCGGAGGAACAAATAACAAAAAAACCGATTAGAGCCAGTGAGACCCAAGATAAAAGTAAAGCAGTGAAGCCAACCAAAGAAGAATCCCAAACTCCCCTGTATGCTCATTTTGATGCATCAGCATATTAAAACACACATGAAAGACTGAAGAAGAGTCTGCTGAAACCCTCCCCTGAGATTCTTGCCCACAAAACAGAGATAAAACCCTCAAGACAAAGGACACCAAGATATCCTTACTTCCCAGCAAGCTGAGAGCGGCCGCCTTGGCTCACTTCCTTCCTATAACGTTTCTGGGGAGCCATAGCAGAGCACCACGTGGGCTCTTCCTATTGCTTCTTCTACCCTAAGTCCTTCCTTTGTTTCACTGCCCCCAGCTTTAATAAACGTACTCTCAAAATCACTTGGATTCGTGTTCTGAAATCTTTCCCACACAAAGTCAAGAACCCACACGCTACAGGCCAGCCTGAAGCAGACCCGCTCTGGGCCTGATCCTTGTCTGGTATGAATATGACCACCTCCCCCGCCCCACAGGGATGTTACAAAGATGTGGACACAATGAAAACCTGTATACCACTCTAGAAAGATTTGAGAAGGTTGTTACAACTTAAATTATATTATCACATGCACTAAATTTCTATTGGTATGTGCATTTAGAACTTAGGAAAGGGAGTAAATGTATCGCACATATATTAGAAAAAGTACATAAAGAATATTTCTACCCTGGCCCGCTGGTTTAGCTCAGTAGTTGAGCATCGACCCATGCACCAAAAGGTCACTGGTTCAATTCCTAGTCAGGGCACGTGCCCAGATTGTGGGCCAAATCCCCAGTGGGGGTCCTGGATGAGGCAGCCAATTAATGTTCTCTCTCATTGATGTTTCTTTCTCTCTCTCCCTCTCCCTTCCTCTCTATCTAAAATCAATAAAGAAAAAAAAGAAAAAGAAAAAAAGACTATTTCCATCCTGGCCAGGTTTCTCAGTGGTTAGAGCACTGACTCACAGACCAGAGAGTCATGGGTTCAATTCCTGGTCAAGGGCATGTACGTACCACCATTGCAGGTTTAATTCCCAGCCCCAGGTGGGGTCATGTGGGAAGCAAGTAATCGATGTGTCTCTCTCACATCAATGTTTCTCTCTCTCCTTCCCACTCTATCTAAAAAAAATCAATGGAAAAATATCCTCAGGTAAGGATTAAAAAAAATAAGAATATTTTCTGAGACTTCAGGTCAGGATGGCGGCGTAGGTAAACACGATATCGCGTCCTCCCACAATCACATCAAAGTTACAACTAAACTACAGAACAACCATCATTCAAAACCGCCTGAAATCAAGCTGAATGGAAGTCCTACAACTAAGGAATTAAAGCAGCAGCCACATCCAGACTGGTAGGAGGGGCGGAGGCAGAGGGGCTGGTCCCTCACCCACGTGTGGCGGATAAAAATCAGAAGGACACCTCGGCTGGGAAGGTCCTTCCTAAGGACTGAGGGGTCCCCGTCCCACACCAGGTGCCCCGCTCAGGGTTCCAGTGCCAGGAAGAGAAGTCCCCATAACTTCTGGCTGGAAAAACCAACGGAAACTGAGGCTCAGGGAGGCTGAAGCAGCTGGAGCCCCAGGCAGCTCCTTAAAGGGCCCCCGGACGGACTTATCGGACTCTCTCCCTCTAAGCTCGGAGGGGAGGCAGCTCCAGGGGCACCAGAGACACACAGGGAAGAACTGAGCTGTTTGGCACTGGAGCGAGGGCTGGAGAGGGGGCTTTCTCGGGGACAAACATGCTGTAAGAGGCCTTTGTTCCTTTGGTGAGCCCTTCCCTGGAGCGGCAGACAGTCGCCATATCTGGGACTACAGCAACCTGGCTCACACTGGTAGCCCCGCCCTGCTGACTCCCTGAGGCCCCGCCCCACCCTGCCCCACAGAACTTTCAAGCCCACCCAAGCTGTTGCCACTTGCTTAACCATAGGATTGGCCTGTCTTGGATCCTGCTTCAGGTTTTCCTAAATTCTTTCAAACGAGCAGAGCCCCATACCTCTCATTAAGTAATACACTGAAACAAACACAGGGAGGCAGCCAAAATGCGGATACAAAGAAACAGGTCCCAAATGAAAGAACAGAACAAAACCCCAATAAAAGAACTAAGCGAAAGGGAGATAAGCAACCTAACAGATACTGAGTTCAAAATACTGCTTATAAGGATGCTCAATGAACTTAGTGAGAACCTCCGTGAACTTAGGGAGGGCCTCAAGAGCATAAAAAAGGACCAGTTAGAAATCATGGATACACAGTTAGAATTGAAGGTGGCATTAACTGAAATAAAGAATAATTTACACAGCTTCAATAATAGAGTATGTAAATCCAAGGAGCAAACCATCGATTTGGAATATAAGAAAGCAAAAAATACCCAATCAGAACAGCAAAAAGAAAAAAGAATCCAAAAAAATGAGGAGAGTGTAAAGAGCCTCTGGGACAACTTCAAGCATGCCAACATTCGCATCTTTGGGGTGCCGGAAGGAGAAGAGAGAGAACAAGAAATCGAAAACCTGTCTGAAACAATAATGGCAGAAAACTTTCCTAACTTGGTGAAGGAAACAGACATACAAGTCCAGGAAGCACAGAGAGTCCCAAACAAGATGAACCCCAAGAGGCCCACACCAAGACACATCATCATCAAAATGCAAAAGGTTCAAGACAAAGAGAGAATCTTAAAAGCAGCAAGAGAAAGGCAGCTAGTTACCTACAAGGGAGTTCCCATTAGGCTGTCAGCCGATTTCTCAAAAGAAACTTTGCAGGCCAGAAGGGAGTAGCAAGAAATATTCAGAGTGATGAAAACCAAGAACCTACAACCACAATTACTCTATCCTGCAAAGCTATCATTTAGAATCGATGGCCATATAAAGACTTTCCCAGACAAGAAAAAGTTAAAGGAGTTCATCACTACCAAACCGTTATTATATGAAATGATGAAGGGTCTTTTTGAAGAAAAAGATAAAATGTATGAACAAACAAAATGGCAATGAATACATATCTATCGACAATGGAATCTACAAACAAAATGAACAGGTAGAACAGAAACATCCTCATAGATACAGAGAACATTTTGTTGGTTGCCAATTGGGAGGGGGGTTGGGGGAATGGGTGAAAAAGGTGAAGGAATTAAGAAGCACAAATTCATTGCTAGACTGACAAACCTCAAAGGGAAAGGGGTTGGGGGGGTGGGAAGAAATAAACCAAAGAAACTATATGCATAACCAATGGACACAGACAATAGTGTGGGAAAAGGTGGGAGGGGGGCGGGAGTGGGGAGGAGGGGGTCAATGGGGGAAAAATGTGGAACATCTGTAATACATTTTACATCCAACAATAAAGATTTGAAGAAAAAAAAGAATATTTCCTAATAGCAGTTTTAAGAATTTACTATCATTTATAAAACATTTATGAACTCTTATCAAAATAAAGAGATATAATTGACAGAAGCAGATTATCAAAGAGTAATTTTTACCACATCTATTATCATGAGGTCTCCAGGAAAGCCATCAACCTGCTGCCCTCTGCTAGTCTCTGCCCAGGTTCCTTGGGCAGATGAGCTAAGTGTCCAGAGATCAGTATATTGATTTTCCTTGCTCTTTCTAGATTTCTTTATCACTCCTCTCTGATAAAACTCATCCTCTTGATAGGCAAATCAATCTCTGAGAGCCCATCTGTATATACAGGGGTGGGCAAAGGTAGGTTTACAGTTATAAGTACACAGAGTTTATCCTTGTATTATTATTTATTAATCATATGATTCTTCATAAGAACTGTAAACCTAATACATTTTACATCCAACAATAAAGATTTGGGGGAAAAAATTAATTAAAAAATAAATAAATAAAATAAAATGAATACACTGGATAGTAAAAGAAAAAAAAGATCTTTATAAAAACATTATCAGAAAATTCTCATTCTAGCACTTCTGTTCTCTGATAATAAAACCCAGACAGTATTGGAAAATTACAAAGAGATTTGGGAAGTTATTATACCTTTGGAATTTATAAAATCTCTATCGAAGCCTCCCTCTCTCTGATTTGGATTTGAAACATTACCTTCTTGATTCCCATGACACGAGTGCATCACACAGAGAATGAATCTAAGATTATATTGGCCAAAGACCTTTTCTCTTAATTTGAATTAATCTAGGATACCAGCTCCTGGGGGATGGCTCTAATACATAATGATTAAACCTAGGTGGACATGCCCAAGGAGGCTTCTTCCTTTGGTCCCAGGACATCCCATAATAGAGACGTTATAAACTTAACAACATTGAAATAATGGATAAGTGTATCTTTTGATTCAGCAATTCCACTTTTAAGCATTTATCCTACAAATATGCATATACCCAAAAACATATTCAAGAATATTCATTATGTTATTTATACTGGCAGGGCTGGAAACAATCTGTAGGTGGCAGACATTGCTACTTATCTATTAATATCTTTTCTTTCCATTTTCCCTTTAATAGCAGAACTCGCAAGTTTTAGCTAAGTACATATCTAGATTTCCAATCATTCTTGCAGGTGATGGTCATGTGATGAATTTCTGGCCAATGGAATATAAGCCAGAACTTCTGGGTAATATATAAAAGGAGTAGCATGCACTCTCTTTCCTGCTTCCCGCTGGCGGGGATATAGCTGAAGGAAACTGAAATAGCCATTCTGCACTCGGAGATGGAAGTCATGTAATGAAGGACATGTAAAATTCAGGCAGAGGCCCCTATCAAACTACCATTTATTTCTGAACAGTTTAATGAGAGAAACTGATTTCTAGTTTGTTTAAACCACTCTATTTTGGGATCTTTTGTTTTTCAAGAAGCTTAAAATAAGCATACTGTAACACACAATCTAAATGTCCACCAACAAAGCACTGGATAAATACATTGTGGTACATCTGTACACTAGCTGGCCATGAAAAAGAGAAGGTAGATTTTTCAAGACCGACATGGAATAACCTCCAAGGTATAATACCTAAATCCCACTAAGAGCAGATATTCTCAACCCTGGCAACACATTAAAATTATATAGAAACTGTCTAAAAACTACCTACTATACTCAGCAGATATTCTGATATACTAAATCAGTATAGATACTATACTATCAGTATAGACAGATACTTAGATATAGTTATTTTTTTAATGGAAGTTCTCAACCCTAACAGGTTCTAATGTGAGTCGGGAACACCAGACTAGAGCCTGAGGATGTGGCACTACAGAAAGAAAGCAGAGAAACTTCACTCAGCCTCTCTCACCATTCTGCCTTCAACCCCTACTTCTACCACATCTAGGAAAAAAAGAAAAGAAAATTCAGGACATGAGCAGGAGCAACTAGGGAGGAGAAACAAAAGCCCAGAGCCACCTCAAAGGGGCTGGCTTTTTTCCTGGCCAGATGTGTATTCTTGGGCCTCTAAGAATTACCAAACAACACTGAAATGTGACTTGTCCAAATCACCAAAAGATACTTATCTGTAAAGAATCAGTCTCTCTTAATCTACTGTTCTTTTTATAAATTCATGTAAACATTTATTTGGGAGATGTAATTCTTCCTGATGATTTATAAGATCAAGACTTCTGTAATTCCTCAAAAGACAGAGTGTGATTTAAAGCTGCAGCAAAAGGTCACCCAGACAGCCAAGAGCCATAAGCTTCAACACCAAACAAGAAGCAACACTACAAACAAAACACATTTCTTTTACTATGATTTCAGCCCAAGTAAAAGAATTGTTTGCTATAGTTTCCAATTATTTCCCATATTGTTTATTCTGATACATCTGATTACTTATACAAACACCCTACATCTGGCAAAAAATCCAAAGACAGTGGCTTACTAACTAGCTTGTTGAACAAGCACACAACCTTTTTTGCAAAGTAATCTCACAGCACTGTGTGTGAATTGTGAAAAATAATGACAGCAGCTTATATATACTATAAGGCACTAATTATTTGCCAAGGTCTGTGCTGATAATAATACGATCTCATAACAATATGATCAGACAAGTGGTGTTATTCCCATTTTAAAGATGAGAACATATAGGCTGAGAAGGTACTCATTTGACTATGATTCTCACTGGACAGTCTGTTGTAGAGCCGACTGTCACTGCTGCTTTCTTCAAAGTCCACGTGTAGATCATGGCATAAGGATGCAATAACTCCTAGAGTCTCTCCAGTGTGAATCAAATGTGGGGGGGGAAAGGGAGACCTATTTATCTCTTTCTTTTCTTTCTAAGTCTAAGATATTGCAATTTAGCATTACCTCCTTCATGATAGATAATCTCCTTTTCTCAAGATTAGAAATTTCTGGTTTCTGCTTCTTCCATTTTCTCTTCAAAGCTTTTTCTTGGAGTTCCCAGTGTACTAATGCTCTATTCTTCGATTTATGTATTTCATGGCGGCGGATCTATACAGAAAAAAAGCATATAAAAGAGTGCTTCAAGAACAAAGAAGTTGCCTGTTCAGATGGTAGGACCACCTAATATATTTCATCTTTTTCATTTTTTTATGATTCAACATATGTATACTTATATATATTCACAATTAAAATTTTCACAGTCTTCTCTATATAGAACTACTAGACCTAGCTAAAAGATAAAACAAAAAAAAATATTAATTTCTACTTCCTTTGTATAAGACTATCCAATAAACTAGTGTTTTTCAAACTGCATGCCAGGACTCATTTTATGGGTGGTAAAAATCAATTAGTGGGTCAAAACCAACATATTTTAAATAAAATAGAATACAGAATAGAAAATATTAAGACATATTGTACATAATAATTATTTTGTTGAACTTTTCAGTTATATGTACATGTATAATTACACACAATATAAAAGGCACAAAACCCACTGAGTCATCTTAGGCAAAGACACACCCATTTCATGATACTTACACAACACTACCAAGAACTAAGAATGCGGTATTTCGATAGCCCTGCTACAACTGCATGTGGAATGGGTCACTGGAGATGCAGAACTCCAGGGATGTGGAATTCCTGAAGCAGAAGCAGAGCTATTGAGCCACAGCTTAAGAGTTAGAGAGCAGGAGTTCACTGAGGTGGCTAAGGAATGAAAGTGGTATGGGCTTGACAAGTACTCCAGTCTTTAGAACAATAAATGTGACCAAACCAGTATGGCATCTGATCAACTGTACTGCTGGGTTTTCACAGTGTAAATAAGAAATCAGTTCATTAAGAGACTAACAACCAAATACTATGTTAGATTCTGATTCTCAAAAACCAAACGAAGATGACATTTTTAAGACAACCAAGGAAATTTGAATATGGACTGGGAATTAGGTAATGCCAAAAAAAATTATTACTTTTATGAGGTGTGAAAATGGCATTGTGGTTATATAAGCAAGTGTCTACATTTGTAAAAATACAAACTAAATATACAGGCACAATATGACATGTTCTCTGGGACTTGCTTTAAAATACTTCAGCAAAGTTAGAAAAGAATATGATAAATGAAATCAGTGTGTGGAAATTTTAAGAATATTAGATCTTGGCGAACAGTGTATAGGAGCTCTTTATAATTTTATCTGCACATTTACATGATTTTGAAATTTTTAATAATAAAAATAATTTTTAGTTAATCAAGCATCATTATTATCCTCAGTGAACATTTAATGAGCTACCAAGATTAAGATTCCTAGGTCCAGAAAGATATATAAGATATGGTTCCTATCCCTCAAAAGTACTAATGATCTGCCCAGGGAAATTGGGTATATACAAAGATCAATGATATGCATTAGATAGCATATACTCAATGCCTTATGTAGATAGTAAGTACAACAGTTCTGAAGAGATAGCAAATGTTGGGCAGTGTCAAAAAGTAAAACTTCAAACTTACTACAAAGCTATAATAATCAAGAGAGTGTGGTACTGGCATAAAGATAAGACATATAGATCACTGAAATAGAACTGAGAGTCCAGACTAAGCCCTTACATTATGGACAACTGATTTTCAACAAGATTGCCCAAATTCAATGAGGAGAAAACAGTCTTTTTCACAAATGGTGCTCTTGGAAAACTGTATACCTATTTGCAAAAGAAAGAGGCTGGACCTTTACCTCACTCTATATACAAAATTTAACTCAAAATGGATCAAACACCTAAACATAGAGCTAAAACTATAAAACTCTTAAAATAAAACATAATAGTGATTTCCAGAGGGAAAGGGGCTGGGGCAGGTAGAAGAGAGTAAAGGGGAGATAAATGGTAACGGAAGGAGACTTGACTTTGGGTGGTAAACACACAATACAATATACAAATGATGTATTACAGAATTTTACACTTGAAACCTATATAATTGTATTAACCAATGTCACCCCAATAAATTCAATAAAAGTTTTTTAAAAACAATGTAAAAAAGGAAAACAGGAGTAAATCTTTGTGAACTTTGGGTTAGATAATAGTTTCTTAGAAATAACATTAAAAACACAAGTGACAAAAGAAAAATTAGACACACTGAACTCCATCAAAATTAAAAACTTTTGGCCCTGGCCAGTTTGGCTCAGCGGTTAGAGCGTCAGCCTGCGGTCCGGAGAGACCCGGGTTCAGTTCCCGCTAAGGGCACGTACTTCGGTTGCAGTTTGTCCCCGGCCCTGGTTGGTCGTGTGGGTGGCAGCCACTCGATGTGTCCCTTCACATCGATGTTTCTCTCTCCCTCTCCCTTCCTCTATCTCCCTCCCACTCTATCTGTACAAAAAATGGAAAAATATCCTCGGGTGAGGATAAAAAAAAAATAAAAAATAAATAAAAAAAAAACAAATTAAAAACTTTTGTGCTTCAACGAACATTATCAAGAAAGTGAAAATACAACCAAAAGAATGAGGAAAAAAATATTTGAAATTATTTATCTCATAAGAGATTTATATATAGAATATATATATATATATATATATTAAATCTTACAACTCAACAATAAAAACACAAATAATTTGCCCTGGTCGGTTTGGCTCAGCGGTTAGAGCATCCGCCTGCGGTCCGGAGAGACCCGGGTTCAGTTCCCGCTAAGGGCATGTACCTCGGTTGCAGTTTGTCCCCGGCCCTGGTTGGTCGTGTGGGTGGCAGCCACTAGATGTGTCCCTTTCACATCGATGTTTCCCTCTCTCTCTCTTCCTCTCTCTCCCTCCCACTCTGTACAAAAAATGGAAAAATGTCCTCGGGTGAGGATAAAAAAAAAACACACAAATAATTCAATTTTAAAATGACTAAAATATTTGAATAGACATTCCTTCAGAGATACTATGGCCAATAATGACCAATAAGCATATGAAAAGGTGTTCATTGTTCAACATCAGTAGTCATTAGGGAAATGCAAACAAAACCCACAATGAGATTCCACTTTATACCCACTAGGAGGACAAAAACCAAAACAACGACAACAAGTGTTAACAAGTGATGTAAAGAAATTGGAACCCTCATATAGTGAGAATGTAAATGTTAAAGCCACTTTAGAAAACAGTTTGGCAGTTCCATAGGAAGTTAATTAATAAAGATCTCATAGGACATAGCAATTCCACTTCCAAGTATATACCCAAGAGAACTGAGAACATATATTCACACAGAAACTTGTACACAAACATTCACAGCAGCATTACTTATAATGGTCAAAAAGTAAAAACAATCCAAATATCCAGAACAGGCAAATCCATAGAAACATAAAGTAGATTAATTGTTGCCAAGGAATTGGTGAGAAGGGGTTGGGGAGCACATAAGAAGTGACTGTTAATGGGTACAGAGTTTCTTTTGGGGGGTGATGAAAATGTTCTATAATTAGCTAAGTAAAATAAGCCAGTCACAGAAAGACAAGTACCATATGATTTCACTCATATATGGAATTTAAAGAACCGAACTACTAAGCAAAATAGAGACAGATTCATAGATAATGAAAAGGCAGACAGCTGTGGTGTGTGGCGGGGGTGGGGGAGGGATGAGCAAAAAAAGAAAAAGAGAGACAACTCATGGACATGGACAACAGTGTGGTAATTGCTGATTGCGGAGGGTGGGTATGGAAGTGGAAGAGGACATAGACAGGATAAATGGTGATGGAAAAAATAAACTAAGAAAAGTAATAATGGTTGCATAACTCTGCGAATATACTAAAAAAATCAATAAACTATACACTTCAAGAGAGTGGATTTTATGGTATGTGAATTATATCTCATTAAAGTTCTTTTAAAAAACAACAACTATATATAGTAGAAACTTTAAAAAGTAAGACTTGGCCTAGCTGGTGTGGCTCAGTAGTTGACCACCGACCCATGCACCAAGAGGTTGCTGGTTTGATTCCCAGTCAGGGCACATGCCCAAGTTGTGGGCCCAATCCCCAGTGGGGGGCATGCAGGAGGCTGCCAATCGATGTTCTCTCTCATCGATGTTTCTATTTCTCTCTCCCTCTTCCTTCTCTCTCTAAAATCAATGAAGACAAAATTTTTTAAAAAAGAAAGAGGAGCCATTAAAAAGAAAAGTAAGACTTGAACTAGGATAACGAGGCAAAGTAAAATTTGGACAAGTAGAGAAGAAAAGTAAGGGAACTGTTCCAAATAAGGAAAAGAGCTGGCATTGGGGTTCAAATATGGAAATGTGCATGGCCTGTTCAAAGACTAAATTACTACATTGACTAGACCGGTATATTTTGCCACGTCCTCTTCCAACCATATTGTCTGACCAAGTCCGGATATGGAGAAGAAAGCTTCAAGGAATGCACCTTCTAGGAAGAGGACATAGTATGGGGGTGGGATTAATCGGTATTACGGGAATTATAATATTGGGAATTATTATCCTACTATATGACTAACCTGGGAATAATAAACAAGGTATCTGAAATCATGCCTCTTCAATTAAATTCTGAAGAAACTCCAGCTTCCCCTAAAACAGTCACCACTGCATGTCCAGAATGTCTTAATAATTTACTAATTCAATTAGGTCAGAAATTTTCCCCTGAAAGTCCCTAACAATTCATGGATGAATTGTGACAGGTAAAACTAATGGAGGCACCTTATACTCCTGTGCCTCCTCCCCAGATAGAAAGAATATTTCAAGAAAATTTTTAAAAAATTATATCGACCCCTATCCACTGCTCAAGAGTTTCCTTATACAGCTTATTGGATAAAAGGAAAACTATGGTACCCACCTAGAGGGGCTAGAAGTATACAAAGGATTCCTGACCCTCCCTTGCCCTTTACAGGAGCATATAATGAAAATAGAATAAAAACAGTTAACAAAGATGGACTACATGTTCCTTATGCAAGCTTGCCTTCATGGAATGTTTGGCACACCAAGGTCCCCTTGGTGTTTATGCACAAAGGAACAAAAGAAATCTTAATCATCGCAATTGAATAGGTTTTATAAGAAATGTTGTCCTGAGTTAGTTAGGGAGGTAAATCAAAAACTAGCTGATCTAAAAACCCAGAACTAGATTTTAAATAAAGGTCAACTATTAATCTCAGACAAAGGGCCTATAGAAAACTCTGTCTCACCTTACAGGTTACTCTACTCCCTTCTTTGTATCTATAAACACAAAAAGTTATAAATTAATTCTGATAAAAATGAAACATCCTGGTACTATAGAATGAAACTCCCTACTTCTTTAATCTCAAATGTTAAACTCATGCCAAAAAAAAAAAAATATATATATATATATGTATATATAAGCACATAGAAACTTGCAATAAATCAGAACAGTGTCACACTTCCTCTGAGTCGTGTAGTCATCTGTCTCCCAGCGCCGACGCCTTACCACCTTCGGGACCCCCTGGATCCTGCTGCAGCTGGACTGCGGCAATTTTTGTACAGGGAAGTAATAGTATATAATGAAGAAGATCTCCATAGATAGGAAAAGATGATAGATGTAGACAGGGCAATACTGGATTTGAACTGTAAATCAAACCTATCTAGTGAAATTCTAATATATGCAAATTGCTTTTCTTATGTAAATTCAGGAAGTCCAGGAGAAATGCTTTCTTATTTTATATAGACATAAACAAGATTAAATATAACAACTTCCAGGAAGTACCTCTGGCTTCTATTCTTAAGGTTAGAAACCAAGTATCAAATAAAATACTGAATAAATCTTAACTTTTGATATTAAACTTACCAGATCTTCAGGAGTTGCCCGATGAACTGTTAGATCACTCACAGTATTCTGCAAAAAAGATGAACTTTCTTTAAAGAAAAAAAAGGTTTCTAATAAAATATTAATATTTATTGGATTTTATAAAATAAGATTTTAAAGTTTATTCACTTTCTTTGGATAATTTTCTTACAGGGAAAAAATCTCTTTAGACTAGGCTGAAAAAACTATTTGAAATCAGTTTTAGTTTCTTTTTTATGACACTGATTTTCCTTTTTTTCTTTTAGATGCCAGATGGATCTCAGTTCAAAGACTATTTCATTTAAGCATGCTACTATTCAAGAAATCTTTCTTTGAAAAGTTAAGGGGTTTTGATCATCGCATTTTAACAAGATAAAATTTCTATTTTACATCAAAATAAAATTATTGTATATTTTGACATAATATATAAAATAAATGTATTTATTTAAATTGAAATAAAATTCTAGTTTTGTTATTGAAACTTCTTTCCATATTTTTCTCGCATTTGTCAGAAAGTTCTCTCATGCCTATTAACAGATATTCTTTTGTGTGTCTTTAGGTGTGAGTATGTACTGGATTTTAATGGCTGAAAATTAATTCAAATTCCTGGCACCAAAAAATCTTTCTTTCCAGGAACCAGTATTCTCAATTTAAATATTAATACAGATTGCTTTTAGGTGTCTTGTAGAAAATAACAAACTATTAAGTATCTTACAGAAAATAAGGACTAACTTCACCAAGTAGGTATACATTATATTAAAACAATGAATAAAACAGGGTAGTGTATAATTCAAATAAGCACAAGCTAAAGCTGTAGTTTTCAAACTATATTCCATGGAATAAGGCACTTGCAAAGATTTTTTAAAGATTAACTGGGATCACTATAGAGAGGTTCAATTTGTGACCATGCAAACACCATAAGCATGGAACCTATCATAACAAGAGACAAAGTTTGTATAATTCCATAAAATGTGAAAACAATCACTTAAGTAAAAAGGCACAAAACCAACCCAGCAGGGTGACCACATTGCACAACTCGGGGAGGTACCGTTAATACCGGAGTCTCTGTAAACAGCACCCCCAAGGAATCCTGCAGCGCACAGCCTGGCCGGCTCTACAGCAGTCCTGCAATTTGGGCCTTTCCAAAATGACTTCAACCATTTTGTTATACAGATTTGTAAGGCAGGAAATAAAACAGGTTGGAATTTTACTCATAAGAAAAATATAGAGAACTGAGTCTGCTGAAATAGCTGTGGATGTATTCAAAGACTTACCTTTTGGGCCATAGTTTATATTTAGCTCAAGGTTTTTCTATGCTAAAATTATTATTCCTTTCGTATTGATTTAGAAAAGTACAAGATACAACTATAAGATCATAAGAATTGTTTAATACTCATAACAGAATTCAGGCATATAAGTGATATATGCTTGGAATTAGTACTCATGGAAGAAAATATTATTTCATTAACACTACTGCCGCTTAAAACAATTTTCTTTTAAACTGCCTTTAAATCTAATTTACAAGCCATTTCAAAAACATCTCACTGTTTTTATCAAAACGGTATGATTCAGTTGATCTCTCCTCTTTCATTTAATATTCACTCCAAATAACTTACAAGTTCAGTCTACCTTCAAAAAACATATTTTTCCAGCACTGGAGATAATAAAAATTAAATGAGAAAGGTTTTGATGCAATTTCAAATGATGGGTTTCAATTATGTTTTCAGTCATAGCAGTATATCAAAATAAAAACTGAACTTCCCAAAGTAACCACTCTGAAGGGGACAATACTTATGTTACCGTGTGCATTTTTTCCCCTTTCATCAGTTTCATTACCTTAGAATCACACCCTTGTAAAAAATATTTTATAGTCAGTCAGATGGCAACAAAGCAATGTGAACACAGAAATCTTTCTGTCCTTCTTCCAAAGGCCATCAGTTTACCCAGGATAACTAGCTAAGACGGTTCGTCACAACCCAGAAGACTCCAAGTCTAAAAGAATCCCTGAGTTCCAAACTAGTCCCTGACTAGCTACTCTCCACAACAGAAAGCAAAGACATCTGTCTCATGGTCCATCCAAACCCAAGTACCAGACTGTAAAAAAATAAAAATCCCTGCCCTGGCCGGTTTGGCTCAGCGGTTGAAGCGTCGGCCTGTGGACTAGAGAGTTCCGGGTTCGGTTCCCGCTAGGGGCACGTACCAAACAAACAAACAAACAAACAAATAAATAAATAAATAAATAAATAAAAATCCCCTTGGTAACACCAGGCATTATTCAGGATAGGAGCCATGGATCATGTCCCAGGTACTTGAGACTTGTCTTTTATTTTAAGAGAACCTTTGTGCTGCAAGTGACCTGCCTCTGGAGGTCAGCAAACAATTTGAGAGATAAGAGAGCAAGAATCACCCACTTTTTCAACCAAAAATGCCACTCACGTGATTATGGCATCACTGGTTGCTATGGGAAAATCTAAAAAACTACCCAAAAAAATCCGACATCAGTGACACAGTGAACTCTCAAAGTGGAGGTAAGGGTACTTTTTAAAAACACACTCCCCAACTCCTTAAGATTACAGTTCTTCAGAAGAAGTAGAGGGTACAGCCTTGACTCCTGTATTCTAAAAAAAGCTCCCCGAAGGATTCTGCTCTTCCCTCTGAGACCCAGTATGTAACCTGCTCAGAAACGCATTCCACCCCATCATATGCTGAGCCCCATTCAGAGCACTGTTCTGAGAGACGAGGTAGAGCCAGATCAGCACACCTGTTCCTCCAGAGTAATGTTACACTGCTTCTTCTCCCGCCTCCACTTACATCCCATTCTTGCTTCACTGCCGTTTTCTTCTTCTTCACTTTCGGTGCCTTCCTTGCTCCTCCCCGGGGGCTGAAACGGTTCACTCTGACAAATGACATCTAGGAGCAATAATTGTATCAAATTTTTCTCTTAATTGTATGTTTTCTTTATCTTTATTGTTGAAAGTATTACAGATGTCCCTCCTTTTTTCCCCCATTGACACCCTCCTCCCTACCTCCTCCCCTTCACTGCATTGTTGTCTGTGTCCATTGGTTATGCATATATGCATATAAATTCTTTGGTTAATCTCTTCCTGCCCACCCCACCCCACTTCCCTCTGAGGTTTGTCAGTCTGTTCTCTACTTCCATGTCTCTGGATCTATTTTGCTCGTCAGCTTATTTTGTTCATAGATTCCACAAAGAAGTGAGATCATTTGATACTTGTATTTTCAAATTTTTAAAATATAAGAAAAGCTAGTAATTAAGCATCGCCGGGGGAGGAGGGGTCTAGGAAAATTAATTTAAAACATGAGAATAAAAATGTAAGCATAATAAAAGGAACAGTCTACCATAATACTTGGTTCTTTTACTTTACAACTAATAGAAAAGTGATAGTTAACTATGATAAAGGAGTTTCAAAGCAATAATTTATGTATATATGCTTTATTTTTAAAAACTCTAGGAATGCAGATACTGTGACCTAAAGCAGAGTACTGGGATAGTAGTCACAAGGTTTGTCATCAGTTATATAAATTCACAACTAATAAAGAAAATGTCAGTCACATGCTAATAGTATAAATGTAAGAGGAGGAGGGCACAGAGAGAGGGAGTTATTTTTTAAGCACTCTAACACTCAAATCACTATTAGATACATTCACATTTATTGTAAATAAAGTTGGCTAAATGTCAGAGAACAAAAGAGTTACAATACCATTTCTAGTATATTTTTCACATAATACTACATGAGAGTGATTATTGATACTAAACTAGAATTTGGAAATGGCCAACATTTGTTTAGCACTCTTAAAATAGCAATGCTAAGGACACTGGACTAAACATAATACAAAATTTTAAAAAGACTCATAATCCTTAACACTGGGAGATATATATATATACATATATCTTTTAAAAAACAGCACAACTCCTATTTTAGAAATTCTTTATACGTCTAAATAATTACAGCACTTTCCACCTGATCCCCTTACTCCAAGTGATCCTAAAACAAAGACTCTAATATTTTCCTTAAGGATATTTTTCAAATATTATTTAGTCTACTAATAAAGGTGCCTAAATGCAAGTATTTCTCAAGAGTCCTCTTTGCTTTCTGTCTACTCTTATCAATCACATTCACTCTTCGAACATGGTATTGAATTTCAGGGTTTACAATCCAGCAAAGAGATAAATCACATACAACTTAGAAAATAACATTTAAGTTTTATGATGGTGCTGGTGATGATGGTGATCATGATGACAGTGATGGTGGTAATGATGGCAACAGCTAATACATATTGAGTGCTTTCTACAAACCAGGTAGTGTTCTAAGCTCTTCCCACATACCATCTCCTTTAATACTCACAATAATCCCATGAAGTATTTACTATTTATTACTCATTTTAAAGATGAGAAAACTAAGGGACAAAGAGTTAACCAACTATGAAAATGACATAGTAAGTGCTACAGCCATAAATAGCATTTTAAAGATATGGAGTGAAATAGAAGTCCAAACAATCCCTTATATTTATGATCAGTTTATATTCAACAAAGGTGCCAAGAAACAATTCAATGAGGAAAAGAACCATCTTTTTAATAAATAGTGCTGGAACAACTGTAAATCTTTGTAAAAAAAAAACACAACAACAATGAAGTAGGATCTATACCTCACAACATATATAAAAAGTACTTAAAATGGAACACAGACTTAAATGTATGAGCTAAAAGTACAAAACACCTATAAGAAAACATAAATGCAAATCTTCATGAACCTTGGGTTAAGGAATGGTTTCTTAGATTAGACACTAAAATAACAAGCAACCAAGAAAAACATAAATAGGACTACATCAAAATTAAAAACTTTGTGTTTCAAAGGACATCATCAAGAAAGTGAAAATACAACCAAAAGAATGGGAGAAAATATTTGCAAATCATATATCTCATAAGGAACACGTACCCAGAATATATAAAGAACTCTCAAAACTCAACAATAAAAACAAAAATAATCCATTTTTTAAATGGCTAAGATATTTTTTAAACATCTCCGAAGAAGATATTACATGGTCAATATGCACATGAAAAGATGTTCAGCATAGCCCTGGCCGGTGTGGCTCAGCGGTTAGAGTGTCGGCCTGCGGTCCCGAGAGACCCGGGTTCGATTCCCGCTAAGGGCATGTACCTCGGTTGCAGTTTGTCCCCGGCCCAGGTTGGTCGTGCGGGTGGCAGCCACTCGATGTGTCCCTTTCACATCGATGTTTCTCTCTCTCTTCCTCTCTCTCCCCCTCCCACTCTACCTGAACAAAAAATAGAAAAATGTCCTCAGGTGAGGATAAAAAAAAAAGACTGTTAAAAAAAAAAAAAAAAAAAGATGTTCAGCATAATTAGTCATTAGGAAAATAAAAATCAAAACCATAACGAGACCTCACACCCAATAAAATGGTTATAAAATGGTTTCCAAAAGGATGGATATAACAAGCATTGGGAAGAATGTGGACTCCTTATACCGGGGTTGGCAAACGTAGGTTTACAGTTGTTCATATGGAAAATTATACAAGAATTAATAAATAATAATACAAGAATAAACGCTTTCACATATTCACAACTGTAATCCTACCTTTGCCCATCCCTGTATTATACTCTGAATTAGGAGAAAGAGCAAAAGATTTTCTCCTGCTGGCCTTGAAAAAGCCAACTGCCATGTTGTTGCCTTTGAAAAGGGCGATGTGGCAGGAAACTCAAAGAACTATAGGCAGCCTCCAGCAGAAAGTCAGTAAAACGTCAAGACCCCTCTGTCATACAGCCACAAGGAAATGAATTCTGCCAACCTGAGTGAGGTAAACCTGGCGCAGATTTTTCCCAAGTTAGGCCTCCATAGGAGAATGCAGACCAACACTTTAATCACAACTTTGTGAGACCCTACACACAGTCTCCAGTTAAACCATGTCCAAATTCCTGACCCACAAAAGTTGTGAGATAATAAATGAATACTGTTTTAAGCCACTACGTTTGTGGTCATTTGTCATACAGCATAGGAAACTAACATACTGGCCAACTCTAAATTCCAGCCTGTGTACGGTAAAATCACAAAAGTGTAACCAAGCTGCTATCCCCACTCTGGACTTCCTTTCACCAACCTTCACAAAGGAGAGGCATGTTTCAGCACTTCTACTTACTAAGCCCCAGTTACACTTCAAACTTCTGCAACACAGGGACCATCTTTGCACTGAAAAGCGGCCTCCTGAACATCACCAATACTGGTGACCACATTTTTCTTAACCAAGGCTCATACTCTGCGGTCTTCTAACAAAGGGATTTTATGCCACTTACAGAAACCAGGTATCATAAAAGAGCCATAGTTTACATGCTGACATGTGAGACTGTGGAGATATTCTGATGTTTTACAGTGCAAAGGAGTCAAATAATTAGCTGAGCCTAGAAAATCTAAAATACCAATAGCTTCCTAACTACTAAAGATATTGACCCCTTCCTAACTGCTAAAATTATTGGTCCCTTCTTATTTCTCAGGCCTTTCCAGCTCTACAGACTCCCACTCCTAGAAGTTCCCTCTCCCGTGGCTTCCACAATATTCTTTCTCCTGATTTCTCTCCTATTCTTTTCTCCATTTCTTTGTAGGCTCTGTTGGCCCCTCCTCACATAATCAAGACCTGCACCCAGTTCTATCCCACTCCTCTTGTCTTCTCACTGGCGACTCTCTCTCTCTATCCTGTAATTGTGTTTGAGAGTCTACTGGCTGGACACTGAATATACAATAGTATACAAGTCTAATATGGTGCCAGCTCTCCTGAAACTGAGTTTCTAGATCACCACGGGGAGTTCACATCTTCCCTCACTGATGTCACCACTCCCTTCAGCAAAGTTATGAATGCCTTAGACACACAAACACATTGTAAAATGAAATGAGTCACAAACCAAGAATCCACACACCTTTACTCAAAACATCAAATGCTCATTTACAACTGTCTTCTGTACACATCTCCCAAATATCTCAAATACAAGTGAAGAATCAAAATACAGTTTATTCCTCCACACCCCCCTCATTGCCCACCTCTAGCTCTTGATATCTGATTGGCTTGTGCAGTAAATGTCTGCTGAATTCAACTCAACCTACAGAATTACCATCCTTCAAGTTGCTCCAGTTTATAACCTTAGCATCACCTCTTCCTTCTTGTCGCATAGCCAATCAGATACCAAAATCTATTATTTCCCTGAAATACCTCCCTTATCTGACCGCTCCTCTTCTATCTTTACTACAATTTCTCCTAATTGATCTTCCTTTCACTCATTCACTCACTCACTTCATTATCCACATATTATTTCAACAAATATTTTGAAAGCATATGCCAAGAGCCAGGCACCAGATACAGCAAGAAAGCAGAGTAGTCTGCACTTTCACAGAGCTTAGAGTTTAACAGACCACAATTAAATGAGTAATTGTAATAAAAGGGAATGTACGAAGTAAATTCAGTGTCATGGAAATACTCCACTATACACAGTAAGAAAAGCCTGCCTTCTCTCTCTAATCCCCCCAAAAATGTTTAAGCTGAGAGCTAAAGTATGAATAAAAGTTAGAAGAGGGACAAAGAATGTTGGGGGAGAAGGGGGCATTTACAAAGGGTGTGAGAAGTTCAGTTTGTCTAACAAAGATTTGCGATGATGAAAGGCTAGCAAAAGAATGAAAAGAAAGGCAGAGACCAGATCAGGGACCTTTGAGCCACAGCAACTTGAACACTATCTTAAAAACTTACAGGAAGCCACTTAAGGATTTTAAGCAGAGAGTTATGATGGGATTTAGCAAATCCACTCTGGCTGGTGGAAAACTGATCAAAGGGAAACAAGACCTCTTTACAAATACTGTCTCCTCAATCAATACTACCCAGATAAACGACTAGCGTACAGCTCAAGAGTTTAA